TGGAGTTAGTGATTGCATCGTTTACATGCTGTATCTGCTCCACAGAAATGAACTGATCTGTGCGTCTCACTTTGGCATTCATTCTTGCATATTTCATCTCCATCATGTGGGAGTGCTCTGTGCCGTGCATGTGTTTCTGTCTCTGACTCATCACACCAGTTGGTGTACCCACATGACAAGCTGGCTTGTTACTGGCACCCAGCACTCCTCCACACTGGCACCATTTATTTATCACCAACAACACTCAGCTTTGCTTCTCCCTAAAAGGCTCCACTTTTTTCCCCCAACTCCTAGCTTCTCTTGGACATCACAGCAACAATCATCCAAATGTTGAAATCACAACCTAAACAGTCAAAGCACTGACTCCATCTTATTGAATTATAAACATAAACAATCTTATCAAGACCCAAGAAAACAAAAAATGAAGGAGAGCAAAAATAAAAATAATTTATGACTGTAAAGCAAATGGTTAAAAAAAAAAAGGTAAAGCAAATTTATTTTATATAGCACTTTTCAGTAAAAAGACAATTCAATGTTCTGTAGCGGCAGTTTAGAATGAGATTAATAAATAAAATAATAAATAAAATAATGACAAAGGGCAGTTTTATTTTTATATAAGACATATTCACATTATACATAAAGTCATATATTATAGTAGGGCTGTTTTATCTTTATATAATACATATTCACAATATACATAAATGTATACAGTACAATAGTAGAGTTGTTTTATATGTATACATTATATTTGCATTTAGTGGTAAAATAAATATAAATGTTCAATCTATACCTCTATAGATGACTGTTATATTTATTTCTAAGTTAATAGAAATAAATATCTTAATCTAATCTAAATGTGAAATCAAAAATTTCAGCGTTAAATGATTAGATATGTCGCCTAACTTTTTGTTCACCTTCTTGTTTCAGTTGAGAGGATAATTTTATCAAGTTTAATCTGTAGGCTTTTTTCCTGATATGACCTCTTCCGCCTCTTTTAGACTATAGATCTGAAAAACCTTCACTGTCAGTTTTTGCATTTAATTAGTTGTTTGAGTGAAAGTTCTACTGCTTCATCTTTATGGTGTGAATATGGTGTGACAAGCAGTCGTACATCCTGGCCTCTATTAGCATATAGGAACTCTGGCAGTGAGGAAAGAAGCAGCCAGTTAAAGAGCAGATTAGACTTCTGCATCCGCACACATCAAATGTCGCTTGCGTCTGGTCACGAACCAGTTTTGATGGTGTGCTTCTGCACCGTCGATCTGGAATTTCTAGGGATGCACAGCAGTTTACCGCCAAAGCGCAACGGGGGCCTATTCGAGAACTCATGAGAACTTTGGCGGATGGTCACGAGCACTTTGTTCTGGCAGAGACCTTGGAATCTTTATAAATTTTTGTCTCAGGCTTCGTACAAGAGGTTGTACTTCCAAACGTCCTCGATTAACCTTTTGTCACAGTGGTCCATTGTAGTTGTTCCTCGGTTTTAAAAAATGGCGCGCCCTGACACCGAATCAAGATGGACGACCACACAGACAGCCAGAAAGGCATACCAAGGACCAATCACAGCTCGTTTTTGTGGGCGCAATTCCGCTTAAGGCCTGTGCGGGTTTGCGATCGTCCGACGCGTAGTCAGTATATTTTTGTGGTAGGCGACAATGGTTGCCGAACCTCTGCGTGTTGGGCGTGGTCGTGCACAGAGACAGATTTGACGGTTGCAAAGGCTATGCGTCAGAAGCATATATTGGCCTTAAGTCTGTTTCGTTTTGGACTGTGGTGGGAGACAAAACTAAGATTCATGCATAGACACGACATGCAAACTCCACTGGTCCTTCTCACTGTGAGGAAGCTAATTTAACACTTGTGCTACCATGCAGACAAGTAGTTAAGAAAATGTGAACAATCTTACAGCAAAACAATAAAACATGCAGGGAAAGACTAGATGACGGGGAATTGTTATGCAAATATGAATATAAAAAACAAAATCAAAATATCAATGGAGAAGAATAATCAAGAAACCAGTATACCCCTAAAAACTGATGTGTTTTAACGAGCTTACGTACAATATTTACCCAGTTAAGAGCAAACTGAAGCAAAAAAAAAAGCATGAAGTTGCAGTTCTAATTGCTAACAAGTAACCAATGGTTTTTGAATAACCTTATTGCTGGTTAGTCATTATTAGTAGATCTCTCTGGTTAATTTTAAACAGAAGATTGCACATATTTGTTTTCTAACTTTCAGAACATCAAAGAATCTGCCTTCTGTGTTAGAGCAGGAAAAAATGGTTAATTATTTCCCCCTGACCCATCTCCTTGGATTTGGTTTCTAAAGAATATCAAACAGGTTTAGTTTTTGCCCTGATAAAATTGGCATAACTGTTAGAGGACCCAGTTTAATGAAAACACTGTAGGTGTTGGAGCAATCCGAGTCATTCATGTTGGAAGAGCAGCTTTTAATTACCTCCCATCTACAGATATGCAGATAAATCCTTAGGGAGTCGTGTTAGAAAGGAGGACTGAGTCAATTTTTTTTAAATCAGCTGTATTGCCTATTGCTGTAAAGCATCTATTTTGTCTGCTGTGCGGCTCAGTTTGAGAAAAAGAGATTAACCTATTGTTTGGAGGTATTTTAGACTGATAATAGAGAATGTATCAATTTTATTTGCTTTTCTGCACGTAGCTGCCAGACAGTGAACTTACGCAACATTCAATGCATGAGGCTTGCTATTTTTTTAGCTGTTAATGGTTTCTTTCGGAGATCGAAATGCATTGCAGTGGGATGTGAAAGAAAAGGAGGTGAAAGCCCATGCTGAATTGTTCGGAGTGAAGACAATAGATGTTTGTTTCAGATTTTTGTAAATGCGCTGCACGATTAAATCTGCACAGTTTAAAATGCCAACAGACCCACAGCAATAACAAAAACATCTCAGGACTGTCAGAGCTCACAGTCGGATGTCTTTGAATCTTTATTTTTCAATAGCTGAACAGAAATTACTCAGCAATTACCCATGAGGCATTTTTTTTTTTGTGGCTTATAAAATTACCAGTTATATTATTACATAAGTCATATCAAACTCAAAGGTTTGTTGAGTTTTGAAAGCTGTTTTTCATAGAAAGGATTGGGTTATGAAATAAATTATTTTGCAAATGCAAGATTTGTCATCAAGGTTCTTCCTCCTTTCTAATATCCAAAAGAGTGATTAATGAGGAAGAAATAGGAGCAGATTCATGATTATAGGCAGTGCAATTACAGGAGATAAAAAAATATCTTTTAAATTGATGTGTTTTAACTGCTTGGGGCTGTATGACAGCAAAAAAAGACAAGTAAAAAAGAAATGTATTTCTGTTTACTTATTCGAAAACAATAACACCGCTCAGAAATAAGCAGAGAAAAACCTCGAAAGGTTACAGATTTTCACAAAAAGGAGGGAATTATGAACTAGAAAATATGCCAAATTAAATGAAACAGTTTTTGTTTAGATTGACATGGCCCTACAGATAGACATGCTTGTATAAAGAAGTTTAAACTAAATAAAGTCCCAACAACTTTCCATTGAACATTATATACCACATTTTGGCTTCCTAAAAATATTCCCAGAGTTCTGCAGCTGTTACTGCAGAGACCAAATATGAAATCTATTGATATTAAAGGATGAAAGGAAATTACTTGATGTTATATACCTGATCTTAAAAGTTTTACTCTATGAAACCAAAAGGAGCATCATAAATGTATTCAGTAAACGTCGCCAGAACTAGAATGCTGCACAGTAGAAAACAACAAATTGCTTGACTTGAAGTTCGACCTTTTGCCATTACACCCAGACCTGCCCTGGCTCTCTGCAGACATTTGATTCTAGTACAGCAGCTGAAAACTGGCTCTTCCACTGGCTGCAGATTCCTCAACAGACTTTTGTTTAGACCTCAGAATATCTTTGTGGTCTGAACTTTGCATTGCAATTGTACAACAATACTAAGTGGGACATAGTTTAAAAAAAATGTCCTGAGTTGGGCTAAGAAAACGTTTTTATTTTAATCAAACCTTTATTTAACCAAGTTTTTTCACTGAGAAACAAGTTCTCATTTACAACAGAGACCCTGTTTGGACAATTGTTAACAGCTTACCAGAACAACAATTCATAGCTTATAAACACACGATCACAATGTTTATGATTTATTATTATTTTGTGTAACCTTTATTTACAGGTAGTTTCACCGAGTTTCACAATCTCAACTTCAGATCTTAAAATTTACAGAGGTTATATAAAGGCCTGTGTGTTGTTCAGTTATCAAATGATTCCACTGTCCTTTCTGGCATTACTGTGGTACTTTAATGCAATCTGGGCTTTCATTGCTTTACAGACATATATATATAAATGTGCTAACTGCTTTAAAGGTATACGGTTAATGCTTAGTGGGTAGTGCAAAGGGGTTTTTGTTGCCATGGCAACAAATCACAAGGATGCATTTAATTTTTCATTAGATTTTTTTTTGTTTTAAAGAAAGGGATTAATTGTATAACATTGCAGTGAATAACTATGGCTGGTGCTTCTAATTAAGTAAAAAAGCAATGCAGCTGACAAGTAGTCCAGAGGGATGTTTTTTAATGTCTGTTGAGTTCAATAAAGGATTTGCAATAGAGTTAACTTTCAGAACTCAGTCGGTCAACCAATCAGGTGCAGATTAGTAGAAACCATGAGAGCTAGCTCACATGGAGAGTCAATGACAAAGGGAGCTGAACTTATCCATCTTTAAGGAGGTTTTAACAGGCAGTAGAGAGGCCATCCCAAAACAAGAAAATGATGAATAGTTTAAAAACAAGATACAGTTATACATAAATCATGATAATGGATATGAATAAAACAATTCACAATTAAAGTTGAATGCAGACACCAATCAGCATTTAAACTTTTTTTTTTTTTTTTTTTTTTAACAAGGCTGTCTGGATTTTTAAAGGAAATTGAATTCACGGTCAACTGTTAACATATTCTCTTCTTTTTTCTATAGGCTGATGAGGAGGACAATATTGGGTATGCTGAAGGAGCCACAGAAGGTAAGTTCATTAGATAAGCTCATATCCCAGCTGCTGATTTCACCAGAAACACCCTGTTCCCTGGAGATACTTTAAATGTCATGTAGATTTAGCATTATTGACCAGATCCTTGAATGGACCTCTGTAGCTTATGTGAGTGTGGGTTTGTTTTCACTGCATCAACATTATTGACAGGCTAATATCTAGGGAAAGTTGTGGGTTGATTTACTGTTGAATGTGAGTGAGACATGATGTCCTTTCATCTTCCTAACAAACTGAAAGGACAGAAAGCTCTGAATGTATGCTTTATGGTGGTTAAAGGTTTGCATATACATGATGCACCGAGGCTGTAATCTTGTTTCATTCCTAAATTTAAGTTTAAACTGACTCTGTTAAATCAACTAGTAATTTGATCAAACCTGGCCTGAATTTATTAATAATAATTATTTTTATGAGCATATATTGAAACCATCCACATAATCAAAAATCGGTGTGTTTTTTTTTAAATCCTACAACTACTTATAAAGAGATGGTTTTCTCAATGAAAAGAAAATATTTTATTAAAAAGTTAGAAAAATACTAATGTAAGAAGAATTGACGGATTCTGTTAATTCCCCTTCTTGTTTTCACCTGATTTACATGGATAAAGAAAATAATCTTTTATGAATACAAAAAACTTTTACGGATTTTTTTAAAGAAAGAAACACTGATACCTGCAAATAGTTTCAATGTTAAAGAGATAAATGAGCTATTTAAAGGATTTGAAAAAGATGATTTACTTCTCTTATTGTTCTCTCCATGCTTCTGTTGCAATATTAGATATATGTAGAAACCGGTATAAGTAACATTTAGTCATAATACAGCCAAAAAACTGCCAAAACACTGAAGTTAGTAGGATAGTAGATTTATTAAAAAGAAAAAACAAACAAACAAAAAAAACAGTTTACCAGCTGAGTTCATAGGGTGGTGATTGATAAAGATCTATCCAGTCCAAAGGATTAGGCTACATCAGGACAAATGTTGTCTTCGACAATAACTTGGTGAACTAGAATCCAAACCAGGCAGTTAAAAGTTTTCTGTTGTGAGCCCATTCTGCCTTTGGTTCTCTGCAGTGTTAATTTAGATAGAAGATCTGCTCAGGTTCTGATCGGCATTGTTACTCGGATGGATGCCCATAGACATCAGCACTTCCATATCTCCCAGCTTCTGTGTCAACAGGATGCTTATTTTGCTAATAATTACTGAATAATTTGCAAATTGACTAGATTAAAATGTGTAAATCCTACCTTTTTGTTAAAGGTACCAAAATGTAACAGAAAGATATGTATCCAAAGATTTTTGCTTTCAAAGGCAGTTACTACCTGTGCCAGGAATTAACTTTACAGAACCATTTAGAAAAATAAAACCTTGTAACAAGAAAATTGTGCGATGTTCAACATTAGTTCCTTAAGTTTAACTGTATATCATAATAATATTGTTCCCATTTTTCTGTTTAAAAAAAAGGTGGTAATTTTCATTTAGACTAATTGTGCGGCCCTGTTGGCTAGTTTGGGTAGATTTTACCTAATTTCTCTTGGTGTTACATATTGTAGCTATTACAACAAGATACACTTTAATAACACAATTTGAGTAAATTTACTCAATCAAACTAGGTGCAAAAGGCTACCTTCACTTTTCTGGGGTAAATTTGGCAGTTTTTTTTTTTGTTTTTTGTTTTTTACAGTGTAGCAGCTGAACCCCGCACTTTTAGTTAAATGAATATTAATAACAGAAATAAGAGGGCTGAAAATAAATAGCTCTGTAAAAGCACCATCCATAATGCAAGTCAGTCCAAAGTGCATTAAACGACAAAAGAATGAAAGACATTTTAAATTAAAAGTTTTTCATTATGCACTAGCCACTGAAAATCATTGCATAAAAATAATTGAGTGACAATTTTACATACAAATATAAAGTAGTAAAAGAAAGCCATGTAAATGAGCATTTTTCCAAAGAGACCTGACCTGCCTCAAAGGTTAAAACTTCACTTACACAGATTGTTTATATCAGTCTGGATTAACTTTACTTCATGAGTAATAAGCAGCTACTCCTCTACTCAACATGTTCCTACAAGACAGTCTTATTCTGTCAAATATATATATATATTTCTATGATTTTCTTCTGAATTCATATGGTATTATACTCTGCTGAAGTGCACCCTGCACACCTGTCTATTCCTGTTTAATGCCCACTTAATCTTTGACAGGTTGCGAGGGAGAGGATTGCAATCAGTGTGGGCCCCATATATGCAAAGGGTCAATTTGTAATCTCAGAAAGGCCCCGGCTTTACCATAACCCCATGTCCTTCATTACTGTTAAAGTTTCAGCTGTTGCATATGTGTTGCTTTGAAATGACCTAATATCAAAATAGTTAAAGGGCTTATAATTGAATTCAGTCAAAGTTAATTTCATGTTAGTCCTGTCAGGTTCTGTAAATATTCAGCCACAGAAAATGTGGTTTCTTTGAGCATGTTCTATCTGGTAGAATACCATCTGTAGCTTTCGTGTACTGGGGTTGACATTTTTATCAAAGGTCAATTCTCTGCACTTCTTAATCCCCTAATGTGACCTTCACAATGACTTTGAGGTTGTTACTGAATGGCTTAAGAGTCCAGACTTGATTTTAAGCTTCAGAATGGACATATTTAGAGAGATCATCAGCCTCGATGATACAATTTGTCTTGGTTTGTATTCCATGTTTAAACATGACTGTTTTGTTTTTCTTCCAACAGGTTACTGCAAAGAACAGAAGAAACCAAAGGTTATCTTCATGATGGGTTCGTAATCTAAAACACTTTTATATCCAAAGTATCGCACAGCTTCCCTCTCCCTATGCTCTAGACCAGAGATGTCCGAACAATCCAGATGGTGTTCTCAGCTGCCCCTTTTTGTCTCCAAATCAAAAAATGTTTATCAAAGCCATCCCTTATTTTAGCTCATAAGACCTTTTTTTAATTTGTAACCTCGCTTAATTATTGCTTTTAGATTAGATGGAGTAATTTTCTTCTTTGAGCGGCTTTCTAACTATTGTGGGTACAGGGTTTCTCTCAACAGCTTCAGAGATCTTCATAGGGCCTTGAGGGGTCTATTCACATTTGTGCACAAAAATAAAAATGTATCACCAAAAGACCAGCGTCAAATATTCAGATGACATAATCACTGTTAGGCTCATCTCAGATACAAAGGAAACGGGATACAGTACATGGGGTACATCTCTGCTGTTCAACAAAACACCAAAAAGACAGAAGATTTTAGAAAGCAGACTGGGCCACATGGGAAAACCTTTACGACTTTCAGATATCTGGGCATCCACATGTTTGATCTCTGGCTGGACCTACTGAACGATACAAAGGCCCAAAACATAACTAAATAATTAAACATTAAATGCCATCTCCTCTCTCTACAAAACATATCTGTAACCTGTAGTCTTAGTAAAACTAGGCTAATCCCACTATACTTAGACTGATTTATTTCGTATACACAAGTGTAAAAGTGTTAAAAATAAATTTAGTTAAGAACAGTTTAGTTAAGAACTTTTTTTTTTAAGTGCAGCCTTGAAAAAAGTAAAAAAAATACATAAAAAATATACCCAAAGTATACCCATTGGATCCCACTAATGGGACTGGTTGCCCGCTTGATGGAGCTACAAAACAATCATGGGACACAGATTCACCACCAGCCTCTCCCCCTGCGTCATATAGACTGAAATAATCACATTCTTCCCACAAAAGTAAAAATTACTTAAACTCAGGCACTGAGATCCACTCTGTCAATCCACATCCTGAGCATTTTGAGGGCTGGACATCATCTTGTTTACACCTATTATACACTCCTAATCAAAAGCTTAAGGCCAATTTAAAAAATTGCATATATTTCCACTTTGAACTGTTAACATTTAGATAGTTCAAAGTAGAGCTTCAAAATAAAAAGGAAGGAATGGAAACTCGCCTGATAGAGCTAAAATATTTGACTTATGACTTAATATTAATATTGACTTAATATTTGACAGTATGAAAAGGAGTTTACTTTGGAAACTACTTTTTTTTAAATGTCCAATAAAGGCCAGTCCATCTTATATTAGCAGCCACGTCTGTGTTCAACTAGCAGCAGCTTGAGCATGTTAAACTGGATTTAGTAGCTTTAAATGAAGGAGTTAGCCTATTTAAGAGAAGCCTATGTATTTTTAGTTAGATTTTCTGCATCACAGAAAAGTCGTTAAATGAGAGAAATGTTAGCTGGAGTGGCCACCCACTCATTAAGCGGCACAAACATTGTTCAGAGTCACATCCGTGTCTGCTGGGTGACTCTTCCTTTATACCCTGGGTGACATTTTCCTCTAATTATGTGCTGCAGAACAGGAAAAGCTTTTTCGTCTTGCTCTCCATCAGTTTCTGAAATAGTCAGACAAACCACTCTTTATTAAGATCAGAGAGGATTTACCTGTTTACATTCTGTGCAAAGGGACTCAAAACAGCCTACCAGCAGCGATGGACGCTGATCAGATCTCATAACACATATTTTAAGTTTCTCCAGGGCTGAAACTCTAACAAGGTTTAATGTTTATGAAAATGTTTATGGTTTATGTTTTCTGAGTATTTAATATTTTCCATATAGATAAAACAGCCCTGTTTAAACAGGCTGTGATGAAAATATTTGCAGGGCGCCACTGTTTATGCATCACTGACCTAAAAGGTTTAAACTGAGGTCATCTTAGCAAAAATAGATGTTTTACAGTTTGTATAAAAATACATATTTATATAAATTTGTATGCAACAAAAAAATGAATACATTATAAATGTATACTGTTCTATATTAGTACTATAAAAACTGAATCAAAATAGCTCTGAAAGTACAAAATCATATAGGAATTGTAAATTGGGTTGAACATATAAAAATTTGACTTTTTCATTCCAGAAATGGCATCAGAAAGCTATAAGCATAGAGAAATCTAAATAGACAAAATTTGACGGCCATTATGTTCTGAACAAAGGAAACCGTTTTCAGCGTTCTTATGTTACAGAAACAGTGTTAGCTTCAATTTACGGTAATATAGATTTCCACTGAAAACAAATGGGTTGCTAATAGCTCGGTTAAAATCACATTTCAGCCTCACGTGACGACTCCTGAATAAGTGCTTAACGAGACAAAACGACCAACATCACACACCAAAAAATGGTTGTGAAAAGAGATGCATTCAAAATGTCCTAATTAGAAAGGATTTTTTTAGCCAAAGCAGAAAAGAATAAGTGTTCGCCATTAGGGCTGTAGCCCTAAAGACATTTTCTTTCTTTGGCACCTTCTTCTTCTTTTTGACTATTTGAGCTAATGTAACAAGTACATTTCTCTTCTGTGAGAGCAATAAAGTTAATCAATTAATCAGTCAATCAATCAATAGCTCTGAAATAAAATGGTTCATATTCATGATGTGATGTACATGGGCATTTGATCAGGGCAAAATGTCCTTACAATAAGGTAAAATATTTATAGATGTACAGGAACTTCAATTATTGCTGCTAGAGATGAGTTTCTGTATCATCCATCCAACTTCTCCTGCTTATTCCGTCAGCGTCGCAGTGCAGCCACCATCTCCGGCAGTCTATGCACGAGAGGCAGGGTACATTCTGGACAGATCGCCAGTCTGTCGCAGGGCAACAGAGAGGCGTACATCAATGCAAACACACACACCTAAGGACAATTTAGAGAAACAGATTATCTAGCACTCATGTTTTTGGACTGTGGGGAGGAAGTGGGAGTACCTGGAGAGAACCCACGCATATTTGGGGAGAACATGCAAACACCATACAGAAAGACCCCAGGACGGGAATTTAACCTGGAACAGTGCTACAAACTGCACCCCGGAGCAGCCCTGTTTCTGAATCATGTGGTGTAAATAGTTTTACATACAATATTCTCAGGTTTTAGGTTTTGTGAAAAGATGCATCCATCATGATCCATCTATAACCTGATGAAGTTTAAACGTAATTAAAACCAAATAAAGAACAGGTGGTTTCCTTCTACGCTGTAGATCTATATGTATTGTTTGTCTTAAATAACCTAAAAGGTACCAAACTAATTTTATGATTTTTTGCAGTTTCAGTTAACCTTATATCCAGTTTTTGTTTTGATCATGCAAGATAACCACATTTTAGGTAATCAGTGTTTTTTAACTATAATATTTTACTAAGAAAAACAAAATGTAGAGGTCATAAAGTTACAATAGATACAAATGGATTGTAAAATTAAAATTGGTTCAAAACACCTAAAAGCTCAAGAAGCCAAAGAGTCAAAGATTATTACTGAAAAATTACAATTAATACAAAGCAAGATGGAGTGATGAGTCATTTTTATCAAACCCTCACATTCCTCAATAAACGTTCTCACTTATCCTTGTGTGCGTGTGTGGGTGGGTGTGTGTATATGCTCCCTAGAGCTTTCACTGCCAATGATCATCTCCACTTATGTGAATACCTGAGGCATCCCAATTAGTGGAGGCAATAAGCCCGTCTCTGCTTCAACCCATTTATTATTTAGACTCATTTAGATTTGAATATTACCCACTGAAACATGAAGGAAATTATTATTCAACAGAGCAGATTAAGGTAATAGAATTAGGTGATTTCCTTTATACCTCACGCATTAATGTCGACCTTGCTTTGCTTTCGTAGCATCACTCTTCTTCATTCCTTTCCCTTTGTGCCAACTTGTGTCCTTTTATATCTGGAGAGTTCACACACATTCTTGAATATTTGAGATTCTCAAACCTTGAGAGAAACTAGAAACAGGATGAACCAATGTGCTGACACTCAAATCACCTTGCAAGGTTCAGTTTTTCTGAAAATCTTTAAATCCTACAGAAAACCAATTAATATTATATGACAATGGAGAATTTAGCAGAACAGACTAAACTATAGCAGAATAGATATAATTGCATGTGATTTTCCTGGCTGAAGTGTTTTTTTTTTTGTTATGCTTTGCACTATAGATTTTGTATATGTTTTTTTAGAATATATTGCTGCATTGAACTGTAACCACATAAAAACTATGACAGAGTATTAACACCATTGCAGGTTATGGAAAGTAAAAGCCCCTGAGGAGTAAATTTCTGCAGATAACCCATAAATTTTGATTAATTTATGTTTTATTTTTGTTCTTTTAAAAAAAA